TTTTAAAAAACCTTTTTTCAATTATCCAACATATTTGCAGGATTTTGACTCTGAAAGATTTCGCTTAGCACTTAATACATGGATAAGCATGAATGTCATAATTGGTTCTACAATTGAGAGGCGAGGTCCATTTAACACATTCTGTGGGCCTATAAAGAAACTTATCGGTCCAATTGTGAAAGATTGTTATAAAATCTCTCCACCAAATATACTATACAAGGCGTTAAATAAATGCATTGAACCATTAATTCAGAACTACTATGCGATGCATCCAAACTTCAGTGTAATTAAAGAGGTTACGGATTTGCTTTTTAGTCGATGTAATAGATTAAAGAATCTCAAAATTTATCTTGGAGATGAGCATACACTGTCTTTAGCGGAAATGAACTTTGCTTTACTTACTATCCAACACAACTCCCTGCTTAATCTTCAAAAATTCGAATTGGTTATACGTGCACCTTCTTTAAATAGCGATAATTTACAAGGTATGAATGATGCCTTAGCGAATCTCTTTACCATGATGTCTCAATACGCCACAAATATTCAAGAAATGAAAATTCAATCTTATACAACTGGATTGCCAGCGAAAGTTCATGCCAGCCTTTACAGATTAATTGAATCACAGAGAACACTTCAGTCATTTATGTCAAATTATTTCTGGAATGCTTCAAGTCCTTCGCTTTTTACCGCTTTGTTAAATCAGTCACATTCATTAACTCGGTTTCGTCTTTGGGGTTTAACACATTTCGATGATTCTTTAATACTCGGATTATTAGAATGGAATGCCTTGGAAGTATTGGAATTATTGGGATGTCCAGATGTTCCTGTGTCTGCAAATTTTACAAAAGGCCAACTAAGAATTAGGAATCTCTATATCGGCAACGGCTACTGTTCATATCCTTTTATAACAACAAATTTAATCAAGATGATAAATTTGAATCTTCAAAAATTAGTGGTAGAAGGTGCAACTCCGGAAATTATAGATGCGGTCACAATAAATTGTCCACAACTTACACATTTATCGCTCTGTGCTTATCAAGATATATTTGAATCTCTTCCGAGATTACTTTCAGCTCTTTCTTTGCTAGAAACACTGATTTTAGGAAATCAAGAACAATTTATATTTACAGATGATACTATATTACAATTTTCACAATCAATCCCACCTTCACTATGCGCATTATTTCTGAACTTTAATATTTCATCACAATCATTGAGAGTACTTTTAACAGAATGTCCAGCACCACTTCATAGATTAGAATTACATCAAATGCAGAATAAGGAATTAGAATTGTTTTCTATTCTGATTCAATACACACAAGATAATAAGTATTTAAAAGAGTTGAAACTATATTTAGCTCATTCAAATAGTTATACGGATCCTGTTAGTCTAGATGTTTTGAGAAACGCAAATAAGTATTTTACTATTGTTAAACAAGACACTACTAGAAATTCTTATAATCTTTGGTGATATTCCATCCTATTAGTTATTGAATGATGTAGTTATTTTTGTCGTTTTGTTATATAATTGGACACATTTTTGAACTGTACATAATTTTTTCAAAAAAAAAAAAAAAAATGTATAAAATAAAATCCGTCTGTACAAACTAAATATCGATAAAATTCAGTTACACGAGCACAAAAATATTTTTATCTATAAATATTTTTAATTTTTAACTTTAATCTTTTTAGCTTTCAAAATGGTTGTCGAGTCAATTTCAATACCACCACTTCGTAGAACTTCTTTAAAAACCCCAATTACGCCCTTGACACCTGCAGAAGATAATCCAATTTCACTTAAAGTTTCAAAAATTTTAATTTGCCCTATCGATGACAGTAAAACCAAATCTGCATTGGAAGCACTTTCGGAATTTTATACTTCAAATTCTGTAGTTGAACGTAGAAATTTGAGAGGAAATATCGAACAAAAAGCTATCGAAACCAATAGAAATTTTCTTGAAATTTTTGGTAAAGTTACGGAGGTATTAATAATTGCTTACTGATACTTTAATAAATCAATCTTTTTTTTTTATTTGATTACTGAATAACTTTATCCATTTATTTATCTTCGTTGATTCTTAATTGTCTCAGCAATTAGCAGCTATAGAATCGGAAATTAAGAGCATGAACAATTTTTGTGATGAGATTAGTAAAAGCCTGGATTCCGCAAATCGTAAAACTGCGTTATTATTGGAACAAAGCGACAGTCTAAAGTCACAACGGTATTTGTCGTATACGAAAAAAATAAAATTGTACAGATAATTACAATACTTATTTAAATAACCATTTATTGTAGAGAAAGTTGTAAGACTCGCAAGATTCTGATAGACGCATTTTTAGAAAAATTTACACTCTCTGAAAAAGAGGTCGCAACCTTATCGTCTCCTGATTCAGAAATAGGTTCAGAGTTTTTTGAAGCATTGAAACATCTTCAACAAATTCACGGCGATTGTGATGCATTATTGATTACAGAAAATCAAAGAGCAGGGTAATCTTTTAAATTATTCAATATTCACTTCATTATAATTCACTAACTTTAATTTTTTTATATAGACTAGAAATTATGGAAAAAATGAATTCTTACCAAGAAACTGCTTTTGATAAATTATATCGATGGACACAAACAGAATCTCGTTCTTTAGGCCGAGATACACAAGAAGTTCCTGTAACTTTGAAACTTGCGTTGAAAACGTTAAAACAACGACCAGTGTTATTTCAGTGGGTTTATACTTTTATTTAAATTTATATCGCAAATTATAAATTTTGCCTTAATGAATGACCTTTGACTTTTTAAGATCATGTCTTGAAGAACTCGTTTACATTCGGAGAAATTCAATAATACGCACATTCATGGATGCTTTAACTCGAGGTGGTCCCGGAGGTACACCCCGTCCAATAGAATCACATGCACATGATCCCTTACGTTATGTAGGTGATATGTTGGCTTGGATTCATCAGACGGTTGCTAACGAAAGAGAATTTTTGGAAAGCTTATTCGAAGTTAAAAGTAATTCTTGTTCATACTTTCAACATCTATTACCTAATTTGATGATAAGAGGAACCATATCTAAAACATAATTTAAACATATAAAGATGAAAATGATTATTCGAATGTTGAAGGTTTGGAAAAAGAAAGTGATGATATTGTTATTCAGGATTTGTTAGACCGTGATCTTGATGGGACATGTCGTCCATTAAAGGTACAGATCCTTTATTGCCAATTTTTATTCTCTAAATGTATATATTACATATTTTTATCATTATATAGACACGTGTTGAACAAGTTCTGGGCTCACAACCTGGAGCCATAACAGGATATAGGATTTTGAATTTGATTCAATTTTATAAAATTACAATTGCAAGAATTTTAGGCCCTAATGCTGCTTTGTCTAGGGTACTTAAAGAGTAGGTAATCCCTATAGGTAGTAGTTTTAATCGGTTGTGAAATATGGGAATAATATTATTTTTTGAGATTGATCTCTTATACGAATTTTGTAGTATCACGGATTCGGCAACAAAAGTATTTTTCAACACACTTAATATGCAAGCTGAACAACTATTGCGATATAGACAGGTATTGAAAAATATTCATAAATAGCCAATTCAAAAGATTACATTGATTTTGATTGATTTTGATTTCAATAAAATTTTACTATAGACCCCAGGTGCAGAGTTAATGCCACCGCCTGCTGTGAAAGAAACTGTATTGCAGTTGGTAATACATATTTTCATATGATAATGAGATTAACTTATCCACACATTAGCTTATAATACCTTTAATAAAATCTGCAGAAAGAGATAATGGCATCATATGAAACATCTTTGGTCACTGCTACAGAACGTGAAGATGATTTCCGCACAATTTTAGATACTATTTTAGACCCTTTGTTTCAAATGTGTGAACTGGGTGCAAATGATTTATTAAAGTTTGATAAAGCAATTTACATGATCAATTGTCTTCACTATGTACAGGTAAATTAATAATTATGTCAATATTCTTTACATTAATAAACGAATAGTAATGATTTAGGATATTTTTACATTTACTAGTCATCTTTAACTCCATACTCATTTACTCATGGTAGAGTTATGTCACTAGAGAGACAAATTGAGGATAACATGGAAATATTAGTAGATGGTCAGGTATGTAAAAGTGTTACAATGTTGATTGAATATAAATTAATTCATCTATTTAATTTTTAGTACGCAAATCTTTTAAACCAATCTGGACTAGGACCAATTGTCCAGATTATGGAAACGAAGGATGAAAACGTTCGTAAAATCTATCAGTTTATTTTATTGCAAGTAACGTTACTTTTTTTTTTTTTTTTTTTAATACTTATTATTGATTTAGACGCCATTATCGCTATACCCAAATATGGATACCAACTCGCTAACAAATACAATGGCGAGACTTGATTCATTTTTGTCGTTAGCTGATACAGATACATTCAAATTACAAGGGCATCCACAACCATTGGTGAAAAAAGTTAATCGAAGAGTAATGAAAATGTTTGTTGAAGCTTATAGAAGAATCAGTGATGCTATAAAAGATCCAAGAAATAGATATGAATTTCCCGCAACTATTCTAGCTAGAACTGTTGATGAAGTTGAAAATCTCTTAATGGTTGATAGTGAATAGATTTTTTTGACAACTCAGTCATAATAGTTTAAGTAGTGGAGTAGAATCATTTATTTAATAATTTTTTTATAAAGGTATGTAATATATATTATGTATTTGTAAAGACCGCTGAAATAGTGACGACTCCGAACACTATCATCTTTAATTATAGCATTATTAGCCACCATTTTGAAAATACAAATACTGATTATCGCTATTAGATACAATTTAATATAATATTTAAATAGAATAGTAGAAGTTTAAAACATTTAGTGAATTAATAAGTAAATACTCAAACACTAGAAAAATAATTAGGACTTTATTATTCAATTTTTATCATTTTCGCTCTCATGGGATTTAGTGCTCTTTGATAAAGAAATACTCGATGCACTTTTACTTCCTTTTTACCCATTCAAAAAGACTATATCGATAGTCATCGGACGGTCCAACCGGTTTTGTTATGATTAACGATAGCGAATTAATTAATTTTATCAAAAACTTTTAATATCATTGATAATTCGGTTGATATTTAGAACATAAGTAGAATCGCTTTTTCTGATTCATTCACTTGGTATTCTTTGCATGTTTCTGAATTTTAGCACGACCCATGGTGTAAACAATAAGCTTTGCTTTGCCTTGGAACAATGTTATTAGGCATTTTATCAGTAGATTTCGACGGCTCGACATTTTTCAGTTCTGACATAGCGGCAGATGTAGATTCCAACTTCAACTATGCTATCTGATTACAACCTTATTAATGTTATATGAATTATTAATTCAGAGAATTGATATTTCCATGCTTTTTTTTTGATATTGCCGCACTCTTGTAATGGAAATAACCTACTATACACAATATGTTTATACGCAGTTGTGACCTCACCAACCATACACACGTGTTTGCTAATTTAATATATTATACACACCACTACTTTACTAAACCATATACCACTACTATTCGTATTACTCTTTGCTTCATCATATAATTTAAAGCCTGGATTCACAAAATGACTGATTGTTAGAGAATTCCATGAACTCAAAATTAAATAAAGCTGTATGACATCATCGGGAAGATCCCCCGAGTTTCGCTGTAATTTTATGGTGCACTGTTTCTGTATATGATAATTTATTTTATTACTAGGATTGTAGCATTCGAGGTGGAAAATTAATGAACCTAAAATATGAGCAAGTTTGAGGCCAAAATTTTCAGTGAAGTCCGAATTAAATGGTGTAATTTTAAAATCGGCTAAGCCGGCTAAGCTGGTAAAATTTATCGGCTTAGTCATAGCCGAAAATTTTTGATCGGCCAAAATCACTATCCATGACGTCTCCAGAATGCCATTTATATAATCGTATGTTTTCCATAAGGTTTTACCTTTATATAAAGTGCCATCAAGAAAGTCCATTTTCGAACGGTGGTAACCTCAATATAAATCGTATACTAAATTATTTACAGCTTGCTCCTTCGAGATAGAGTAAACTAAGACAATAAGTTGGATATGGCTATTTGCACAGATTCCATAACTTGTGGGTGTATTATTTTCGTCACCTTCGTCATCCTGTATAAGAAAAATAATGTTTAAATAAAGATCAGATTATTAACATTAAAAATAATAAATTATATACATTGAGCTCTATGTCTCTTGGTATAATTCATTAATCTATGGTTTAACTTCTTAACTGCATTGATCTCGGAGAGTTTTAATTCAATCTTGTCGCCATTTAATCGCACAATATAAAAAGTTCCCGATTTTGTATTTTTTCGGGAAGTTTAGTATGCGTGTGTGAGAAACTTTCGAGACCGACTTTAAAACTTGCATTGTTACAAACCGAGCAATAGTTATTAAATTCTT